TAAACCAACAGCTCATTCTTCTACATGCCACAGGTATGATTAGTGCAACTGCGAGGAAGGGAGGAAAACATGAAAAGGTAGAATGTTGAGGTATCCTATCAAGTGAATTTTCGGTTGCAGAAAAAGCAGGCAAGGCTGGCTCAATGTGATTTATGTTGCAATCTCATTCTTAGATTGAAAGATACTAAGTGACAAAGTCTATCACAGTTTAATAAAGCAGAAAAAGTTTTTTTTCAGGCTGCCTGGGAAAGCACTCAGTGCCATACAGACAGAAAGCCAGCTAGAACTTGGAAGAGAGACCAGTGACAAATGTGTTCAAAATATAGGTTTGTTTGGGAAACCTTTGGTTTTTATTTAATATAACTACCACAGAAATTGCTTTAATCATATATTATTGTTTTCAAATTTAATTAGTATGAGGCTAAAAAATGATGCAACTTATGAATATAACCTGCTCCAAAGACTAATATTTATTTATAGAAATACACTAGTACTTGAAAAGCAATAATACTTGAATAGATGAACAACTCAACATAAGCAAAAATAGAAACATCACCAACCTTGAAATCAGGAAGAAGTCTAAAATACACCAATGGCAGCTTTTTGCAGAAAGATAGAACAGGGACAGGCCATGACCTATGCAGAACACCACTAACCTTCAAAGCCTCAGTAAAAATACAATTTATTTAAAGAAAATGTGAAGTAGGGAACCTTGTACTGGAGTTCCAACTCCAGTACTGAATTCAAGACCAAAATCACCACGTTGAAAGAAAAGTGGAAATGCTTTACGAGATAAACGAAGGAGACAACCAGACTAAATTAGGAGTTCAACTGGTGTAAGGTATGCTATGTGTACTTACTATATTTTAATTCTTTGCTCAAGAAGTTTTTCCAGCATGTGAGAAGACTGAAGCATGAGTGAATAACGAACTCCACAGCACTATTTCACGTGTCTAACATTCTCCATCTTGAAGAGCAGTTCACTGTGGTACTCCAGCATTTTATCCACTTCCCAGGACAAGTGCTCCTGTCTCATATCTTTGACCTTTTAATTTGCCAAGAAATCATCAATACTCACTGGAAACCCAAAGGGCACGTAGATAGTTATTTATTAACATTTAAAATAAGCATAAATTTCAGGAACTAAAAACTTCTCCAAATTGCTCTGCATACGGTATTGTTGAAATCAAAAAGGATGTTCAATACAACAGAAAGACCAAGCATAATATTAAAATATGAAGTTAAGTGGTATACAGCTCAAGTTAATAGCAATTAATTCACATTAACTTGAAGAATTTAAATACAATTTTACACATTTTCTGATGAAGCACCACACTCACAAGACCCAGTGAAGCATCTCATGAGAACTAAGCTGCAAACCAGTTAAGCAGTTGTAAAATAAGTTGGCAGCCTTTTATGTTTAAAAAATAAAGAATTTAATAGTAGCATTTTCTAGAGGACTAGCTGAAGAGGGGTAGATTTCACATCCAATATATCCCAGTCACACAAAACAAACATCTGAGTTTTAACCAATTTAAAAATTCTGTATACTTACAAAAAGATCTCAGTCCTTCCATCATTTACATAGCTGCTACACTGAACTGGTGTAAATACTGAAGATTTTTGGCTATTATTAAACAGCAGCTGCATACATTAATGTCAGCAAAATAACATTTTGGGTTGTTGTTGTTTTGTTTTTTTACAGTAGATATACAATTACAGTAAATGATGAAAGACCCACAACCTTTTATCTTACCATGTTGTTGAAATATATGAGTTTAGCCCAAACTAAAGCTAAAGCTCCCTTATCTTGCTTAGCCTACATATTTTTATTCCTGGACCAAGCATAAAACAAGGATTTCTAGTTTTAAACATCTGAGGTTCTTTGAGATGTTCGCAGAAGAAAGAAAGAAAAGATGCATCAATTCAGAGTTCAAGACTGAAGTATAATGGTTCATGTACGAGGACACAGACAGCTTGTTTATTTGAAAGCCCACAAGCTCAACTTAAAATACAATCATCAATGTAAAGTATTTTGTTTCATAGTACATGAACATCCACTTCACTCTCAAGATGCACATCAACTCGTGCAGGCAGATGAAATGTTACAGCCTGAGTGGATGAAATTAAGAACAAAAAAGAAAAGTTTCTCAAGTTTTACAAACTAATCCTATAGGCAAAGGAAGTGAATTCAGTATTAAGATGACAAGTGTAGATGCACAGAGGATATGCAAACAGTTTATCAACTCCCACTGTTAACACGTCAGCTATCTCCACCCCTAAAATTCAAAGAAACAACCAGGGCAGATCCTTACATGGAAATAACTATACGCTCTTCAAAATTTGAATGAAACAATGCCTCTCTCCACCTTTCAAAAGAACATACTGTAGAGTTAGATAACAAAGATTGGCCTTCACCATGTGGGAAACCGAATTTAGCAATTCCTATGGGAAACAGACTGAAACAAACCAAAACAAATTAAAACTCTGCTAGCAGATTTCTTTTGTTCAGAAAGGGAAATCAATGAGTCGGGAACATTTTTGCGGATTTCAGAAAATGCACCCATGGCCACGCTTCCCAGGATAGCAGCAGACACTGGAGTCATCCCAAAAGGAATGGGGAAATGGAAAGGAACGCTTACTTTAATGGAAGAAAGGAATTCATTGCTTCCTGAAGGTGTAAGTAAGAGTGAAATTCTGCAGGAAGATACCTGAAGACCAACCCATTTATGCTCTCTGCTTGCATTATGGCAGATATTCCTCCTGCAATGCAGAGGGAAACTGGAAGAAACATCTGACTTGTGCCTGACTTCTATTGTCACACTTCTACATCTGGGGAAGGACTAGGTCAGATAAGTGGTAACAAACATTATGCATATAATGGAACATTAATAAACAAAATGTTGCATGTGTTATTAGTAGCATTTGGCTTAGAGATCCCTGAACAATGAGTATATAATTAACATTTCAGGATTTTTATGGGAAGTTAAATACTGTCAAAAGCCAGGAATAGTTAGAAATTTAACTTCACGAACTGAAAGGCCGATATTCACCATATTCAAATGCACTTTATTCAAGTATATAAAGTAGAATAGACAATATAGAACAGATGCTTTAATGAAAACATGTCAGCTGTACACTAGTATCATAGTTTTAAATGAAGCCAAACTTAAGTTTCCTATAACTCATGGAATAATTCATTCCTCTCCCACAAACTACAGCTTACATGCCAGGCTGAAAATAGATTAAATGAGAACATGAAGAGGTTACTTTCACTGAAAGTTTAAAAAAAAAAAAAAAAATTAAGATCAAATTGTCAATTGTCATGCAAGGTTTTCATTTAAGTTACTGTATGCTAATTCATATAAAAACAAAAATGTAAACCAGCTTCTTTTGCAACTTAACAGAACTCCTCTTATTCTCTCAATTTATCATTAAACTATATTGACCTCCACCTGTCAAAAGAATAAAGACATAGAAAGTAGGAGTGTAGTTCCATAATATAAATTGGCAGCAAAAATTAGTTCTAATGGCCTTGAAAACCACATGAAAGTCATTTCTTCATAAAGAGTTACTTATATTTGAATGCCTGGGATTATTTACTTAAAAATGAGTGCAGCAGAAAATTAGAAGACGCTCCACACTGGATTTTCACACTCTACTAGAATAATGTCAAATATTTAAATATCTTCTTGTGAAAGAGCAATAATTTCAGAAACTTAGCTGCAAAACGGCCAGAACAAAAATAACGCTATTTACGGAATTCTAAACACTGTTACTTCAACATTTTCAGTGAAATTGGCAGTTTCAAATAGGAAAAAGGAAGATGCACTGAAATCAAAAGAATTTGTATAAAAGAACATGTTTCAGGTGTGGAAACACTCGTACTGCATAGAAAGTAACTTCAAAGCAGAATTTTGACTAAGTAATGAAAAATAACTAATATACTTTCTTCGATACACCAACTTTTTTTGCACTTGACTTAAAAGCTCACCATGTTTGGTGGATTTGTCTGGGATGAAAATGGTTTTGGCAAGGGGCTTTTGCATCTAAACTTTGCAGACAGTGCTTTGAAACTGTCAGAGTATCCAAGGAGAAAAAAGCAAGAGGATGTACAGCAAAAATGGTACTTGATAAAATTAAGCCTAGAAAAACAGAAGACACGAAGCAGTGAATCTTGTCTAGCTGTGAATATTGAGGCTTTCCCAATCCAAATCTTTTAATAATAAAGTAGCACCCATGTTTTGCTTTACTCAGAAACCTGAGCATTCAATTGACAGGGTTTATTTCTTGTCTAACACCAAAAAACCCCCTACGTTAAAGATGCTGATATTACAAAGACAAGACATACTCAAAGATTAGCAAAGCTCACACGTTGATTTGTCTCAATTTGTACAATAAGGCAGGTCAAATCTTTCAGCAATCCTTTCTCTATGATTTGTCAGATGTGTTTAAAGTGGGAAAAGTACTCAAAATGGAAAATATTCAGCATTTTTACACTCCTCCTGCACTAGAGGTGCAATAACATTTTATTCCACTGTATGCTAACTTAATCTTACACTATAAACAGCTTTTTTGGTTTTTTTTTGGTTTTCTTTTCTGGGGGGGGGGGGGGGGAGGGGGGGGGAGGGCAGTCATCTGCAGTTTTCACAATACTACTGTATGTGGTTTGTCTACTGGTGAGCATGCAGTTACAATGCAGCAGTGCCTGTTCAGCATTGCTCCTCAAAGGAAAAGCCTTCTTCCTTTCCCTCCCAGCATCTCCCTCATAAATGTTTAACCTCACTGTTCAGCCAGTTAAGAAATTTTCTGCTGATTTAACTGGTTCAGTATGGACCACAGGAAAACAAATGCTGACACAGAGGAGGCAGAATCAGGAACAGAAGTGGGGTTCTACCAACTTCACTGTGAGCAAGCAGCCATTAACACAGCTTCACTGTATCAGGGAAGAAAAAAAAAAAAAAGAGACCAAAAAAAAAAAAAAAAAAAGAGACCAAAAAAAGTATTTCTACATTTATTTGAGATATTAAGCACCATTCCTTTTCTTTCTGGAGGAAAATGGCTCGTGCATAAGGAAGCTGAAGGCTAGCAGTGTCATGTGTCCATTAACCAGTACAGCACTCCACAGCTGTATATTACAACAGTATATACTATTTTTACAGCACTTTATATGCACATAAAACTCCTTTTAATTTCAGCTGCACATACTAAACTCTCAGCAGTCTGCAAGTCGGTCACAACATGACTAATACCATCAGCAATTAAACTCTTCTATTCGTAGATCAACTAACAATCCTGGAACAGCATAAGAACTGTCACAGCTCTCTAAATGTGATCACCTCCTTCTGTTACAATCCCTTCTCATTTGCCAAGCTTTCAAAGTCTGCAAAGTAACAAACTCATTTTATTCTAAGTCTGATTCAATACCAGAGCAATGCTCATGCTATAGAATAAAAGAGGCGAGGGCTAAAGCAGGAAATACTTTAAGTCTGCAAAAATATGAATGCTGCAGCAGAAGCAAAGTAAGGTTGCACATGCAATCAAATCCTGAATACCTGACTAACAGTAGCTTTCTTTTACTGGAAACATCTGTGCATTTTCCTGATATTTTTGCAACAAAGAAGTAGAAGCATGCTGCTCCCTTGAAGGATTATCAGAAGGACTACATTCTTTGAATATTGATCTTTGCCACTTCAAATGGTCAGTCACAGTTGGAATAACAGGCAGTAATCCATAGGTCAGCCAACAGAGGGAAACAAATACCTACAAAATTTGTTAGCAAGAAACAAAAACAGGGAAGGAGGGATTTTGGGGCTGAAGTCAATTTCATAAGGTTTGGGGCTTGAAAACTCTCTTCTAGTCTCCTCACATAATAAGAGCTTAGCCTTTCCCTTCCTCACCTAATCTGCACTTAAGTGAGATTGCTGCTTCTTTCCGAAATATGAAAGCTGCTTCCCTCTGAGTTTGCAGAAAACAAGCAGTAAAAATTAAGATTCATATCTGCTACTCCTCATTCTCAAATATTTACAATAATGAGTAAGAAATAGCATCTATTGACTGTTTTATATATGCAAAGTCAGAAGAGAGCTGGGGCCTGAGAAAAACTAAAATCCAGCAAAATAGTCTGTATTCAAAACAAAGTTATACCACTTAAGCTTCAGAACTTTGATTGCCAGAATCTGTAAATGAAGGGCTCAAAACAATATAAACATCTGTGCTGGACATTAAGACATGAAACGTTCGAATAATACGCCATATTGCTATTTTAAGCTATAACATATCTGACTTCTACACTGTCTTTCTAAAAAGAGAAAGCTATCCATGGAGTTTGGTACAGGCTGCTCAGTATTTCATACAGTCAATACACCTGCTTAACATTTTTCTAATATTCTCTTCCAGAAGACAGAATGCATGTGGCTACGTGAACTGAAACAAAGGATACAATTTGAGGAGTTAAAAGCTAGTAGAGCAGTAACCAGTTTAATAAGAATTCTAAAATTCCTTGTTTTCTAACAAAAATCTTGATAAAATGGCTATGTCTTCTCCATGGATCAAGGGTTGTTTCTTTTTTTTTTTTTCCAATATTTTTAACAGTAGACAGGGGTAAACACCTCAATGTTGGGTAAGTGAAACAAAAAACTTTGAGAACAGTATATGCTTGCTAAACAAGAATTATGTTTATTTAGCTAGTGAATCACCTAGAGGAGTAAATTTTCACTTTCATGATAGCAATCTGTCAGGCTTGCAAACACCCAGAAATAGGAATTAAAGATTTTAAATGTAGTTATAAAGGTCATAAAAAGTCTGATTTAGACTGAGGTACATTTACTCAAAACTGAGATTCATCGAGTGGTAGCAAACAAACAGTTCCTCAGACAAATGCACTTTTTTCAGTATACATGTTACAGAAAAAAAATAAAGAAATGTGCATTAACTGGTGGCGTCCACCAAGCTGCATATTAATATTCTCTTACACCAAACAGTTTGAAACAAGGGAAATGTCATTCTAATATAATTTTATGTTACGTTTCATTTGGCTAAACTGCAGCTTAAAGTTGCTTTGCCATTTTAAAAGATTACTACAATAATTTTCACATGAACATTTAGACTTGAGTTTTACTCCAGGACTAAATATGGCATGATTTGCTTTTAATCTGTTGAATAGCTAAAATCTGACAATTAAAAAAACTACAAAGAAAAAAAATTAAGTTGAAGCAATGTGAATCTCACATCATCGAACCACTTCTAATGGTTAAATGTTAGTATTTAACAAATTCAAAGAGTTAATGAATCCTTGCATTCGTTCAGTCTCCTGTGCCTTAGCTAGGATGCATAAATACAAAAGACAGCAGATACTGGTAAAAGCTTCAGGACAGAAAGTGCTTGACGAAGGTACAGTTCTCAAGTGTGTTTGGTGAGAGAGTATAAGGGCAGATGCACTGATGAGAACCATTACAAGAAGAGTCAATTTCGTGTTAAAGTGTTCAAAGATGTCACCTTAAGCAGAAAAAAGCTTTAATAACGTCTTCTTAGACATATTAGGCATTTCCAGAGTCTACATCATTAGTGTTGTAATTCTAGCAGGATATCTCCATACAGTTATTGTTTGTTTCTATTCCTCTCCTGAAAGAAAACAAAAACAAAGAGGGAAATCGTGTTAATACACAAAGTTAAACATTACTTGCTTTCCTCTCATTAAAGCAGTAGCATTGTGAATTCTCTAAAATCAAGCAACTAACTTTCAAGGACTTCTAACTTTATAGCTTTACAACCATCTCTATGTACATTTTCTCTCTACAGTAGATACTAAATAAATGAAAACACAAAGATCACGCTCCCAGATATCTTAATCAAAGACTACTATGGTAAACATTTTGATGTGCTTAAGATCAAAAGGTAAAGGAACAAGTTGCACCAGTACTTCTTCCTCCATGCAAACACGGCGCTGTGATGACGAGATAAAATGAAAAAGGCCAACCATACAATATTTTTTGTCTAGAAGTTACTTACAAAAAGAGTGAGGTAGGAATGGCTGGGTAAAGACAAACAAAAACAAGATAACAATAAACAATGACAGAAACCACTCAAATGCAAGCCTCACTTGCAAATCAGGCTGACATTCACCTCAAAGCCACCACAGAAGTGTAAGATGTTACATTTAGTATAATGCAATATGTCACATGTGTAAAAAAAGATAAACAATGTAAACACTATTAATTTCACTGTATCTCTACCAGAGACTAATAGAATCTTCCACTGTATTACAAGACTAACAGAGGAATAACGTTTTCAATGATTCATCATTCTCTTTAAGATAAATATACAATTAAGTATTATGATCTCTAGGAAAAGAACAAACAGCGATTATTCTTCCTTGCCTTCATTATGTATCTTGCTAATTAGACTGCAGAAAGACACTACAGTTTGACTCTAGGAAACTTAGAAATTTTCTTCCATTAGAATTTTTTTTTTTTAAATGTATCACTGAGCAAGTTATGTAAATGTTTGATAATACTTTCTGGAAGAGATAGCTCCCTGCCTCATTTAAAACAGAGCTCATTTCCAGTGTTTTTATTACTGCATTACACAGGATGTTATAATTGGAACACAAACATAGCAAGGAAAACCAAAATAAACCAGGAGGCATTTGAACGATTCAAAACCACTATCTGATATCATGCTGAAACTTTATTATGCTAGAAACTACTTAGGGAAAGTGAAAATTCACACATAATCCCAAATAAATTCTCACAAAAAGACATTATAATGGGAGTATACAAAACATTGAAATAGTTCCTAGAGAACAGTTGATTATCTAGTCTTCCTCAAGACAGACTTCTGCTTCAAGGCTGCTTCAAAATGAATACCAAAAATGTAAGGTTTGCAGAGCACTTGGTCACTGAGACAGTAATCTCACTGTCTCAGCAGCTATGCAACTTGCTTGTTCCAAACTCTAGGACAGAACTTCAGTATATTTAAGGAGCAAAATTACCATTATTCCACAGTATCCTTTTTCCTAGTTCAGAGATGCATGGCCAATATTTGCACAGTGATTTTAAAATGAGATTGATGCTATCAGTCATTAAATTAATACATGTTGATATGTTAAAGAGTATCTCTAGGCTAAAAACACATGATCACTGGGCCTCATGCCTATGTACATAAAGCATGCAAAAACAGCCTGCTTATGTACATCTTAGATTATTGCTGTACTATGAGCAGACTTAACTGCCCAGTGCTGAAAGCCACTATGCTGTATTACAGCAGCCTACAAAACTGCAGTGTTAAATAACGATGTATCAATATTTTTTTCAACTTAAAATACTATCTACACAAAAGTAGCATCATCAGTTTTCCTTCATTCCCAAGTAACCATTTAGTCAAGCTGACTACACAGTGTCTCTGCACTCCAAACTGCTCTCTCTCTTCTTATATTCAGATGAGTAAGATCTTTTCCAAAACTCAGCATCCTAGAGTAAAAAGCTTCTCAGGTCAATTCACATTCCCTGCCAAAGGCCAGCACAGCCTGCTTTACTTCCCAATCTGCCACAGTGAGGTTACCTAGCTTTGGGTGGAGTTTATGAGCAGAAATGGAAAGCAATCAAGCATTTGATTTAGAACTATGTGAGAATGGAACAGCTGGTTAGCAGTAACTGCTAGCAAAAGGCCATGTGGTAAGCAAGCTTCATTTATGCAAACAACTTTCTACACAAACTGACAAAACTAAATCAAGGTGAACCTAAAAAGGTTTAGGCATAAGAAACATGCCTCAGTTTAGAGTAAAGAAAGATATGTAATGAGCAGCACAGCAATGTGCGTTCAATTTTGAGTTCGGTGCACAAATTGGAAGATCTTGTGCTGAAAAGCAATCACAATGCCATTTATCCTCAGATTTAAAAAAACCTCTATGCCAACAAAATTTCAACCTTCAAAGCAACAAAAATATGCTCTGATCTGATTTGAAAGAAACTGCTGAGATGTATAACACTACTTTCTGGAATTTCTTGCCCAAAACAGGTGAAATGAAAAATGCTAATTTTTAGTAGCAAAATTGAAGTGGAAACCTAACAAAAAGAACTGCTTCAGCCTTAAGATGCACTTCCCCCCCCTAAGGTCCTACAAACTGAAGTTCAGAGTGAAGGAAGGACTTTTGCTTATTTTATGACAGACAGAGGTGTGAACATTTCAAGGTATCCATTTTTAAAGCTATTTGGGGTTGCAAACTTGCACAAATTGCAGGTAGTATCCCCATGTGTTCAACTCGAGCATGATCAGCTATACTTGCAAAAAAAAAAAACCTCTGCAGAACTTGCGTATCATGCTGCAATCTTTAAAATGTTCATACTTGAAGCTCTCTGCTTTGCCCCCATCAAGAGACAGCATTCTTACAGCAGTTTCAAAAGGGAACATGCAGCATATTTTAGTTGCTTCAGTGCAGACTTCGATTTAATCTTCATGTTCATCTGCAATGTAAGCAAACATGTCAGACTGCATTCTGTGAAGGGAAGTGCAGGCACACACGTCTGCCAACCCTACTGTGTAGGCTGGAACACCTGGCAGAGGTGGAACAGACAGCTGTAAAGATGGCGAGAAAAAGCCACAAAGCTCATGAAATCTCATTTATTGATGGCTTCAGCCATAATCTGCCATTCACTGCACCCCAGTGTATCATTACAATGGGACAGCAGAAACCTAGGTCTGACCTTAGTGCTCGAGACCACAACCAAGAACAGATTTCTGAGAAAAGCAAAAAATGTTAGAAATAGTTTAGTCCATTTATAGCAAGGATCTCATCAGCCATCTGTTAATGAAACTTCTAAAGCTGTGTGAAATATCAACATCTCAGATTCCAGAGAGAGGGTAAATCTGAAGATTGATTATCTTACAACCAGATAAAAATTACTTAAGCATATCTAAGTAGCACTTCTAGTGATTCTGGGAATCTGTGAAGGAAAGATCACTTGGGAAGGACCTCTAGAAGCCTTACATGAACCCAGAAATTAAGCGCTCAGGTACCACCTCCTCCCAAACATTTAGTTTCTTCTATTTCTTATTTCAACATGAAAAGTAAAACAAATTAAAAATCAAGGACGTCAAATGAAATTTTACAACTCCAGAGCTCCAACTTTTCCAGTAAGCCATATGAATTAATACTCATCCAAGACCCTGCTGTTGTAGATCATTCAAGTTCCAGACAGCAAATAAGCATATGAATGCTGGGAAAGTCTGAAAAGCTGCAAAGTCCAGAATTCCTATTTTCCATATTAATTTTGATGGCATTTTACTTATTTTAACCTCAGAAAGATTCAGCAACAGCAAAACTGTAAATATTACAATCATCGTGGTAAATTATATTTGAGCAGAGCATTCTTAGTGGAACAGACATAACATTCTATACTTTGTTATGCTTAAGAAAACTATGAATTTACATCTGAACTCTCACAGCAAACTAAATAACAAGGTATGAACATTCATAAGGCAGAGGTGGAGAAAAAAACTTAACTGATTTAAAGATACTATGTAACGACAAACCACAAAGAAACGTTCTGCAAAAACCAAACTTAAACTCCATGAGCCAGAAAAGCTCTTCCAGTCTTGTTTTCCCAGATGGATATTGTCAGTGATGGATTGGCCAATTCTAACTAGACATAGCAAGTGCTTCCCTACAGTGCAATACATGTTGAAATATCAGATTTTAATTAGCTACAACATAGCCATTGGAGGAAGCTCATTAAAAAGTAAAAAAAAGAAACTGTGTAATACTGACTTTCCAGGCCTTGGAACAGGTATCTGATGTAAGAAAGAACTGCAGAAAGCAATTAGATGACTGACACCTTTGTTACTTCTACTCAGAAACCCATGGGCAACAAAAACAAGACCTTATTTAACAACTCTGCTAAAGAATCGGGAATAGCCTTAGAAGAGAAATGACATCCACTGCAAAGTCAATACTCTGGGGAAGAACTTCTCAGACTTTCTTTAAGCCTCACCACTAACTCTCTGCGTACATATAACAGAAATTACAATCTGCAACTCAAATTACTATTTCAATTTAAAATCTGTCACGAAGAATCACAAACATAGTTTATCTCACTTTTTCATTATATTCCATATGAAAATGGAATTAACATACAAGATTGCTTACATTCTCACAGCTGAATATGACCCTAGGTAGAGAAGCACAACTGTAATCATAATTACCTCTCCTGTTAAGAACACTACCAGGCACTTACATGGAACCTGGCTCAAACAGTTCATCTGATAAAAAAAAAAAAAAAAAACGTAATCCATGATTTCAGATGATTCTGAAGATTAAAACCAATCAACTTTCATACTAAACCTCAACAATTAAGTTCAATTCAATCTGTAGAAACAGTATTTCTAGTTATTTAAGCTTCATATCGTTTTTGACTGTTGGTTTGTTGGTTTTTGCATTAAAGCACCACTAACAAACTATGCTTGACTTTCTCCTAACTAGTCCACATCTGACATGAATTAACGATACAACGCTGAAGCAGAGTGAAGTCATGGAGGTTGTGGACTCTCCTATGCAGACACATTTTGTCACACTTCCTGCAAGCTGCAGGAAAAGCATAGTGTTCCAGTCAATTTGTTCTCAACAG